GCTGAGCCTGCGGGTGCGGGGCCTGGGAGTGCTGGGACTGCGGGTGCTGGAGCTGAGGGTACTGTGCCTGAGAGTTTGCCGCCTGGGGGTGCTGAGCCTGGGGGTGCTGCGACTGGGGGTGCTGAGCCTGCGGGTACTGAGCCTGCGGGTACTGAGCCTGGGGGTGCTGCTACTGAGCCTACGGAGCCTCGGGTTACTGCGTCTGGGGGTGCTCCGGTTCGGGGTGCTGAGCAGTCTCTCACACCGCAGCAGCTTCGTGACTGGTACGTCCGGCGCTTTCGCCGTCCTAGTGGCTCGGCTGGAGTTGGGGGTGCTGGGGCTGCTCGTCCTGGGGGTGCTCGTACTGGGGGTACTGGAGCTGCCGGGACTGGTTGTTCTGGGAGCACTGCGACTGGAGCTGCTGGAGCTGGGGACTCTGGCGCTGGCGGTGCTAGCGGAGTTGGAGCTGCCGACTCTGGGGGTGACGCTGCTGCTGGTGCTGCGGACCCGCCTGGTGGAGCTGCTGCTGGAGCTGAGGACCCGAGCGGTGGCGCTGCTGCTGGTGCTGGGGACCCGGACGTTGGAGCTCCTGCTGGTCCTGAGGACCCGGCCGCTGGAGTCTCTTCTGCTTCTGGAGACGCTGCGCGGCCGCGACCGTACTTCGTACCGCTCCTTCAGCAGGTTCTTGGGCAGGCTCCTCCTCCTTGTCCTCCTCCCTCCGTAGAGTGTCCTCCGCCTGTCCAGCCGCAGTCACAGTTACCGCCTGCCTCGCCTCTCCCTGCTCCCTCTCCTTACACTGGTCCCAGAGGAGGTCTTACAGAGCGTCGTGAGCCTGAGTCTCGTCCTGCGTCGCCTGTTCGTCCTGCTCGCACTGGTAGTCGTGTCCGTCGTGAGCGTCCTCCTCCTGTCCCAGGCACTCACTACATGACTCTGCGTCCCTCCACTGCTCCTCGGCGTGTCCCTCTACCGTCTCCTCCTGCGTCCTCTTTGCCTGCCGTTCCGGACCCTGAGTCTGACCGGTATCGCGCTGAGCACCCTACTGTCACGCGTCTCCTAGCTACTGTTGTCACTGACCCTACCTTTGAGTCCTCGGCTGCGTCTGCTCTGGTCGCTGAGTTGGTTGACTTTGCTGCTGCCTGTCGTCTAGACTACGCTGCTAGCCTTGTTGCTGAGTCAGAGTCTGCGTCTGTCTGTCCTCCGTCCGTCGGGGGTGAGTGTGCTCTTGGCACGGACGTCCTTGAGGACAGGCAGGAGGACTTTGACTCTCTTGCGGCTGCTGTACCTCATCTCGTGGCCTGGTTGCTTGCCCCTGAGGGAGACCCGGATGCACTAGACATCCCTACTCCGCGCACTTACGCAGAGGCGATCTCGGGTCCCTACTCCTCTCAGTGGCAGACAGCCATGGACGCAGAGATGGCATCCTGGAAGTCCACAGGCACCTACGTCGACGAGGTTCCCCCTCCTGGGGCAAACATCGTCGATGGCATGTGGATTTTCAGGGTGAAGCGGCCGCCAGGTTCTCCGCCTGTCTTCAAGGCTCGTTACGTTGCTAGAGGCTTCAGTCAGCGTCAGGGGGTCGACTTCTTCCAGACCTTCTCCCCCACCCCGAAGATGACCACTCTTCGGGTTCTGCTGCACGTTGCTGCTCAGCGTGACTACGAGCTTCACTCTCTTGACTTCAGCACAGCGTTCCTGCAGGGCAGCCTGCACGAGGAGATCTGGCTGCGCCGCCCACCTGGCTTTACTGGGTCGTTTCCCCCTGGTACCCAGTGGAGTCTCCGCCGGCCAGTCTACGGTCTCCGCCAGGCGCCACGTGAGTGGCACGACACACTGAGGACTACACTTGCGGCTCTTGGGTTCGCGCCGTCTACTGCTGACCCGTCGCTGTTTCTGCGCACAGACACGTCGCTGCCGCCGTTCTACATTCTCGTGTACGTCGACGACTTGGTCTTTGCTACTGCTGACACTGAGGCACTCGCTCGTGTGAAGTCGGAGCTGCAGAAGAGACACACCTGCACTGACCTGGGTGAACTGCGTAGCTACCTTGGCTTGCAGATCACCCGGGACAGAGCTCGCCGCACCATCACCCTGACTCAGTCATACATGGTGCAGCAGGTCCTTCAGCGCTTCGGCTTCCAGTTCTCCTCACCACAGGCCACACCTCTGGCTACCAGCCACTCGCTCTCAGCTCCACCTTCGGACGAGTCCGTAGAGCCGAGTGGCCCGTACCCAGAGCTTGTAGGCTGCCTCATGTACCTGATGACTTGCACGCGACCTGACCTCGCGTACCCTCTTAGCATCCTTGCTCGTTACGTTGCGCCTGGGAGACACAGGCGAGAGCACTGGGAGGCTGCTAAGAGGGTGCTGCGTTACTTGTGCAGTACATCAGGCATGGGGCTGGTGCTTGGAGGACGCGACAGAGTTGTCCTCACTGGTCACTCGGACGCTTCTTGGGTGGACGACCTGGCTACGCAGCGGTCGTCACAGGGTTACACCTTCAGCCTTGGCTCTGGTTCTGTCTCGTGGCGGTCCACCCGCTCTTCCTCTGTTCTCGGCTCTAGTTGTGAGGCTGAGATCTACGCCACAGCCATGGCTGCACAGGAGTTACGCTGGCTCACCTACCTGCTGACTGACTTGGGAGAGCGGCCTAGTTCTCCTCCAGTTCTGTACGGTGACAACAAGGCGGCTCTTGCCTTGTGTCAGGAGCACAGACTGGAGCACAGGACGAAGCACATTGCTCTTCGCTACTTTCTTGCTCGAGAGCTTCAGCAGCGCGGTCAGCTTCGGCTTGTGTACGTGGACTCGAAGGCCAACACTGCTGATATCTTCACCAAGGCGCTCCCGCCTAGTGATCATCAGCGGCACTGTACTTCTTTAGGCCTTGTGTCCACGTTTCCTCACTTGCTCACTGCTTGACATTTTTTGTACTGTACTTTATATATATCTTGCTAGGTTTTGATCACTGTGTTGCTTGTCTTGTACTATATCTAGCACTGCATGTGAACTGGCCTTGTGGCCTTTACTTGTGCTCGGAGTGTGGTGACGTTGTGATCCACCCTGGGCTTTGCTTTGCTTTGCTGGACTGGTCTTGTGACCCTTTGTTCTCCCCCACTTTGCCTATGGGGGTGTGTTAAACTGTATTATGCTTGTAGGCTGTAGTGGGGTAGCCAATATGGGGTACAACCCCAACTAGGGTTTCATATTTGTACCCAAAACTTCTGCTAGTCCATTCATTCTTGCCTAGTTATTCTGAGAAGTCATCCTTGAACAACACAGCACCACAGCTACAACTTTCCCTGTCAGAATGTGATGGTTGTCTAGCCTGCAGTGGGGTACTCTATAGCGAGTACAGCCCTTCTAGGGTTTGCTATATGTATCCCTATGCTTGTTAGTGAAAACCCTTCTTGCCTGTTTCTCGATTGTGCCTAGTATTTCGACATGCTATCAGAGCAGGTCGACCCTCCTGGGTCGATCCTGTGGGTGGTCCCACCCGTTAGCTTCCACTGCTACTCTTTGTGTCGCGCGCCCCGTGGTGCGCGACGGATTTTTTCTTCCCGCCGTGCACCCCGAGGCGCACGGCGGTTTTTCCCCCGTCGAAACGCCCCCCGTCGCCCGTCAAAGCGCCCCTGGGCCCTGCGCAAGCCGCGCGCGGCCCGTACGACCTGCGCCAGGCCCGCGCGCGGCCCGTACGGGCTGCGCCAGGCCCGCGCGCGGCCCGGGCAGCCTGCCTCGGAGCCGCGCGCCGTTCCCCGAGCTGCTGCCCGCTGTGTCCCCCGCTGCTGCCCGCGCTTCTGGTTGTATTAGGGTTTGGGGTGGCGAGTGTGGGGGTGGCGAGTATGGGGGTGACGAGTGGGTGAGTGCGCCATCCCCTGCTCCTCCTCCTCCTCCGTCTCCCACTGCTGCAGCTGCCGCTCAGGGGGGTGGATGTGCTCGAGCCGTCAGGAGGGGGGTGGCGTGTGAGCGTTGCTAGTGGTTCAACAGGGGGTGTGTGATAGGGGTGTGGGACAGTTGGGGGAGGTTGACAGGAGGTAGCCGGTGTGACGTCTGCAGCGCCAGTAGCCCGGGGGTTGAGTACTCCGGTAGCCCAGCGAGCCTGCTGCGCCAGTCGCCCGTGGGTCCGTTGCTCCTGCAGCTTAGTGCGGAGCCAGTTACTCCTGTAGTCCGGAGGTTGAGTGCTCCGGTAGCCACTGTGCGCGCCGTTCCTGTTGCCCGAGTGTCTGTCGCCGTGTAGTCCGGGGCTCTGCGCCTGGTAGCGACAGTGCTGCGCGCTTCTGTTGCGCGTGTGTCTGCAGCTTCAGCCGTTGCCTCCCATCTTCTTGCTCCCACAGTTTCTCCTCCTCCTCACTTGCCCTCTATGATAGCCTCTAGCTTTGCTTGCACTTGTGAACCTACTGCTCTGCCTGCTTGTTGTGTTGATTGTACCCCACTTTGACTATGGGGGTGTGTCAGAATGTGATGGTTGTCTAGCCTGCAGTGGGGTACTCTATAGCGAATACAGCTCTTCTAAGGTTTGCTATATGTATCCCTATGCTTGTTAGTGAAAACCCTTCTTGCATGTTTCTCGATTGTGCCTAGTATTTCGACATTCCCTCACCCCCTCCAACCGTCAACTGCCCACCCACACTCCCACAAACACCTTGCTGTGAAGCAGGGCGCAAAAAGGGTATGCCACCTCGCTGCTCTCTGCGTCTTGCTGTGCCTCCCTGCGCTTCCACCCCATCCCATCCCCATACTGGGAACTAAAAATACACTTTTTTTCATTTGTTTTTTTTTTTTTTTTTTTTTTTTTTTTTTTTTTTTTAATTTTGCCCTTTTTCATGCGAGCAGCGGTCAGGGCCGCCATGGGCGCCGTGGGAGGGCTAGCCAGCGCGGCCTTGGACGGTCTGCCAGGCGGCTTGACTGCAGCTTCAGCGTGCACTGCCCTCACCTCCCTCTGTGGAACGGCACATCTCGGCCGCGGAATCAGAGTCGCTCCCTCCACGCGCCGCCTATTCGCTGCTCCCTTGTTGCTCGGCTTTGGGATGCGCGACGGTGGGAGCCAACTGGCTGATTTCGTTCCTGCAGCCTTGGTGCGACCAGCTGACGGGGTTGGGGAGATCACGACCACTGGATTCGAAGTTGCTGATTCCGACGCTTCTGATTCCGGCGCGGATTCCAACGATGCAGATTTCAGCGACGCAAATTCCGCCAATGCAGATTTCGTCGCAGACGATTCCGTCGCAGCAAATTCCGACGCTGCGCATTCCGACTCTGAAAGTTCCGACGCTGCAGATTCCAACACAGCAGCTTTCGACGCTGCAGATTCCAACACAGCAGCTTCCGACGCTGTGTCGTCGCGAGCGCACGCGTGGTTGCATTCCGTGGCGGCGTCAGCGCGATGGTCATCGTTGGTGCTGTCGCAGCAGTTGGTCGCGTCTGAGGTGCTGCAGCGGGCCGTCACGGCGGAAGAACGACAATCGTCGCTCGATCCGCTGCTCGATGAGTCGCTCACCGGCTGTACGCGCCGTGATGCCCTCGAGTTCTCCCTCCCGAGACTCTTCCAGAAGCTAAGCGCTGCAGAATAGGAGGGATACTCCGAGCCGGACACTGAGGCCATGCTAGTGTAAAGAACCCGGGACCGTAAGGCTGAGAGTCGTAACTTTAGTAGCAACAGAAAGCCAAGTCGGAAGCTGATGTGATGCTCGAGTGTGAGGTGCAGATTTGTACTTGGCAGGAGTGAGGCTTGTGAGTGGTGAGTGGAGGAGAGGCAGTGAGAGAAGCCTTGGGCTCGTCGGGGAGGAGTCGAGGGGACAAGAGGGCAGCCCGCTGTGCGCGCTACGGAGAGATGAAGGTCCGGAAGGGCGTCGAGGGATTCTACTTCGGTTTACTTCGGTATATTCAGATTCGCGCACATTTGTGTGCGTTCAAAGCTAGTACTGTAATCCCGAACCCGTCCCCAAACCACTCTCTTGTCGCGTAAACTTGGCCCGAGCCAATTTGTGCCCTTGGTTTTCGCCCAGGCTGTGCACTCTGCAGTGCCTCCGGAATTCGTTAATATATACATATATTTTGATTATGCCTTTGTTAAACAGACCATTCCATACTAACAAATTTAAATACTAAGGCCTGAAGTTCTGTCTTGGGGTGGCAGGGAAGGGTGTCCCCGGGACAAGAAGCCGCCACCACGACTGCCCCCCCCCCCCCTCCCAACCCTTAGCCAGTGCGACGTACTACGCACTGCGACTCTTCATACGCCGACTACGTGGAGACGTGCAGATCTACTCAGGGCAACTGTTTCATCTTGGGCTCTGGAGCTGTGTCGTGGAGGTCTACCGGGTTGTCGTCTTTGGCTTGTCCAGTTCTGAGGCAGAGATTTGTAGAGAAACGCTAGCAGAAAGTTAGAAACAGAAAGAGAGCGTTGCACTAGCAGCAGATAGGATACATATAGCAAACCCTAATTTGGGCTGTACTCACTATAGAGTACCCCACTGCAGACTAGACAATTATAGCATTCTGACACACCCCCATAGGCAAAGTGGGGTATGATCAGCACAGCAAGAAGTTCACAAGCACAAGCAAAGCTAGAGGCAGTCACAGAGGGCAAGTGAGGAGGAGGAGGGACTGTGAGAGGAGAGGAGATTGGAGGCGGCGGCTGAAGCTGCTGGCACACGGGCTACTGGAGCAACTGGCACACTGGCTACCGGACACAAGCAAGGGTATCCGGACTACTGGAGTAACTGGCTCCGCGGCTACGACGAGCGGCTGGAGCAACGGACCCACGGGCGACTTGCGCAACGGGCTCGCTGGCTACCAAACATAAGCAAGGGTATCCGGACTACTGGCGCTGCTGGCTCCACAACGGCTACCTCCGATCAACCTCCCCCACTGTCGCAGACCCCATTTCACATACACCCCTATGCACCCCTAGCTCCACTCCCACGGCACCCCCCTAGCTCCACTCCCACGGCACCCCCCTAGCGCCACTCTCTCACCTCCCACACATCCACCCCCCTCAGCGGCAGCTGCAGCAGTGGGAGACGGAGGAGGAGGAGGAGCAGGGGACGGCTCACACACCCGCCACCCCCATACCCCCAACGTAGGCGGCGCCCGTGCGGTGTGGGGCAGATACGCGGGCAGCAGCTGGGGCGGCGTGCGAGCGGAAGCGGGGCGGCGCGTGGGTCCCTGGGGCGCTGCGACGGGAGGGGGCGGCGCGCGGGCCCCTGGGGCGCCGCGACGGGCGACGGGAGGGGACAGCGCGCGGGCCCCTGGGGCGCCGCGACGGGCGATGGGAGGGGGGACGACGCGCGGGCCCCTGGGGTGCCGCGATAGGCGAGCGCGGCAGGCAGGTTACCGCCACGCGCCCCGAGCGCGTGGCGGGCAGAAAACCGCCGCGCGCTCAGAAGAAAAAAAAAAACGCCGCGTGCGCCGGGCGCGCGGCAGGCAGAAAACGTCGCGCGCCCCGGGCGCGTGATAGGCAAGAGAGCAGCGGAAGCAGGTGGGCCCACAGGCCAGGAGCGTTCTCGCTCTGATAGCATGTCGAGAAACGCTAGCAGAAAGTTAGAAACAGAAGGAGAGGGTTGAACTAGCAGCAGATAGGATACATATAGCAAACCCTAATTTGGGCTGTACTCACTATAGAGTACCCCACTGCAGACTAGACAACTATAGCATTCTGAAAAGATTTACGCCGGTGCCATGGCTGATCAATAGCTCCGCTTGTTGACCTTCTTACTCACTGACCTGGGTGTGCGGCCTAGCTCTGCACCGACCTTGTTCGCTGACAACAAGGCGATGATCCTCCTGTGTCGAGAGTCTTGGCTTGGGGGCAGACTGAAACACATCGATATATGGTACTTCATGTTGCGAGAGCTACAGAAACGCGACCAGGCATGCTTGGTGTGGCCTTGGTGGCCAACACAGTCAACATGTTCACCAAGGCCCTCCCGCTTGGTGACCACCAGAGGTTTTGCTTCAGCTTGGCCTTGTTTTTCTTGCTTTGCTATTTATATATGACAGTGAACCCTTGAACTGGCCTTGTGGTTGTTTGTCTCAGAGGCTGGCTAGGCATACCACCCTGCTTGCCTTGTTGCCTATCTTGACTGGTCTTGTGACCATGTGTCGCTCTTGCTGATTTTGATAGTCTATGGGGGTGTGTCAATTTATATATTTATGTTTGTCAGACTTCTTAGGCTAAAGTGAGGCACATAGCATAGGATACAACTTTCATCTCGACACTCTTCTGCTTGTACCCTTCTCCCTCCTGCTCATCAAACAATTTTCTCGATATGGCTCCTAAGTTACTTGGTTTATACGTCCATTACTTAACATCCAGCTACTTCTCGCTCCAGCTGTTCCTAGAACTGGCCATCTCTAGCTCCAACCTATCCTCGCCCCAGCCGCTCCTAGCTCCAGCAGTTCCTAGCTCCGACCGTTTCTAGCTCCAGCAGCTTCCAGCCTGGTTTTCCTTGCCGGTAGTTGCCAATCGTTCCTAGCCTTTGCTCCCTTTCTCCATGGCTTCCGCTAATACTCTGCTGCTGTAGGGGCACCAACGGCAATCCCAGCAGAGGGGACCTCATAAGTAGTGGCGCCCTCAGCAGGAGTGGTGTGAGTAGGCATGAGCAGGAGGCCCACTCGGGTCGGGCCAACCCGACCCGACCCGTAGTTTTGCCCGGATTGGGTCAGGGGTTTCGATAGCCTGCCCCGGGTGGGTTGGCCAGACCCGGCCCAGCTTAAAACCCGACCCGAGCAGGGAACTCGGGCTAGGTTTGGCCGGGATTTTGGCCCGTGTTGACCCGACCGGATTTCGGGTCAGAATCTGCGAAGTCGGTTCGGGTCTGACCTGACCCGATTTCGACAAATGGTGTTCGAAACCTTGACACATACGAAGCAGAGGGGATTTTTTTCCCTCGACATCACTTGTTTCTCTCGATCCTAGGTTCCTAACTTAAAACCGGGGTCACAATTTTGCCAAGTTTGGTTCAACCTTCCTACCCTTGGTTGGGTGTAACCATGTTGATAGCGTTGTGCCCTGAAAGTCCACGCTTGCGTATCCTCAAACTCTCGCCCCCCAAAATTACTGTAGCGTCTGTATCACATGCACACGAACAGGGCCCAAATGTGTCGCACATGCAACTATGGTAGGAAACCTCAAACCAGCGGGCATGAAACTTGAGACTTATTGTATCAAGTCAGCAACGTACTGTTGGATAATAGCCTAGTCTGCTTAGTAGGCCACAACTTACCATGTCCAAGCGACGACAATGCACACATTAGGCATAGGTTCTACATAGTGCACGTTTTTTGTTAGGCAGCTTCGAAGAAGCGCGCATTTCGTCCTTAGGTCACGCCAACGAGGGCGGCGTAGCACATGCAAGGCGACGGCTTGGGCGCGAGGAAAATTGTCACGGTATCCTGAGTCCGCGCTGGAGCGAGGGCGTCACCTTACCCAACGCGCATGTGCGGTGGGTGGGCGATTTTACAATGGTATAATGCGACATGTAGACTATGACGCAACGAGGACTATGCAATGTCGTTCATTGCTCATGCAGCATGTCAAGGTTACATGCGCTACCTCTTTCGTGCAAAAGAGCAATCTCACGCGGCCGAGCGGAATTCGTGCCAGGTCACCTCCTCATGCTACCTCTTTCTCCCTCACGCACGTCGCTAGCACTCCCTTTCCTTGTCGTGAGCACTCCCCTTCGTCAAGCTAGCGATCACCTTCCCCGTTGCGCGCACTCCCCTTCCCCTTCGCGCGCACCCCCCTTCCCCGTCGCGATCACTCCCCTTCGTCACGCTAGCATTCCCATTCCCCGTCACGCTAGCATTTTCATTCCCCGTCACGCTAGCACTCCCATTCCGCGTCACGCTAGCACTCCCATTCCCCCATGCCTGCACAGCACCATCAGAAAGTTTGTGAGGCAGGCTCGAACTGGCCTCTAGGCAAATCGAGTTTCCAGGAGCACAAGGGGGTGCTATGAAAATGATCGACTACAGTGCGTGTTCACCTGTGTGGCTTGGTTGGGATGTTTGGGGTGGGGGATGGCCGAAACTCGCACGTAACGACACGTTGTTGGGTGGCCTGGGATTGGGTGAATCGTTCGATTTTGCTACTTCATTGCCACTAGCCTCCCTGACCGCCTTGCCTCGGTTCGTGACGCGCTTCTTCTGAAGCACCCTAGTGAGCTCACTATCGAGGTCCTTGAGTCAGCACTCAAGGACGTCGAGAGCAACCTTCGCTCTGTTGCCGCCGCCTCTTGTGCTGTGCCCCCTCCGCTGTTTCACGGGTGCACTGTCCCACAGCTGCCCACCTTTACTGTCTCTCTCGCCACTGACGTGACCGCTGCTGCTGCTACGACTTCGTCGCGGTCTCGGGGTAGGGGTGGCAAGAGGGGCGGTCAGAGTGCGGGCGGCGGCAGAGGTGGTGGGGCGGGAGTCGCGACCGATGGTGGTGGGAGTGCTGGGCCTAGAGAGGCGTCTCGTGCAGTGACCAGTGACTACCCTGCTGCAGCTGGTGGTGGCGACGCCCGAGTTCGTCAGTTGCCTCCTGTTCTGCCGGCCGCAGTGGGTGGAGCAGCGGCGTGGTACC